CTCCTCCTCCTCCTCCTCCTCTTCTTCTGCTGCTCCTCCTCCTCCTCCTTGGCCCTGAAAACGATGGCCAGGAGCAAGACTCCAACAAATGGCTACCTCAGAATTACCCAGTTCTTATCTGACATTTTTGGCTGTTTTGAGTTACTAAGACTATGAGATAAAATACCAAATGTTTTATCTTTTTTAAATTATCAAAATAGGAAGTACATTCAGAGTCGTTCAAAGAACTGCATTTGAAAAAGCTTGACATGGTGTGAAACTCAAATCTTTGACTTCAAATGTCTCAAAACTAGGTACTGAGCAGATAGATTTTAGTAATTTTGAGGTAGAAAAATGCCAAATTGCAAAACGGTACTTGTAGGAGTCTTGCGCCCAGTCATGAAAATGCTTTCTTCTCGTTTACTTAAATCTATTCTTTCTGTTTTTTAACCACCTGTAGGAAATCTTGGCTCCACAGCAGCACAGCGACCTTTGACCTCCGGCAGTTCATCCGCTGGTTCAAAAATCCCGGCACCGATGTCTGGTCTCCGTAACGGTCATCCGGTAGTGACAAATAGGCCTCAGGGGGCGATGTCCAGACCTCAAGGGGGCGGAGTCTCTGAGCAGACCGTCTTAACCAATGGGAGGAACGGAGGAGGAGCAGGGGGTGTGGCTGCAGCTGTCACTCAGAGTGTCCTGGCCCCGCCCACTGCGCATTCCGGTCTCTCTGGGGATGGGATGCAGACGGAGAACGGTCCCGTGCCGGTCATGATGGAAAAGTGAGTGCTGGATTTAGACTTCATTTTGCTGTATACCTAGAGTTATCTCTGTCCTCAAATCCCTGAGCTACTGTTTTTCAAATCTTCCATAACTTTTTCAGAAATTTTTAACGTTCAGTTTCAGTTTGCTAAGAGTTTTACGGCGCTCACAATTGCATTTGGTCGTGTGAGTGCAACTGTGTGGGTGGTTGGTGGGTGCTGTGGTGTGGTTTGCTTCTTCTTTCCTATCTAACATCTATTGTCCTTATCTCCCCTTCTTCTTTTTTATGTTTGTTACTCTCTTGTAGCACCTCTAATCTTCTGGCGCTCTTATGACCTTATGCAGTTGCGAGTGCTGTAAAACCTCTACTAAAACTTAAACCGAGTGCAACTGTAACAACAGATGTTTTAGGTGTAGATAAAGAAATCGGACAAAACTAGACTAACTCGTAGTGAAAAAAATAAAAATTTTGGCAGTCTCTTGAAACAGGTTCCCAAATTCCTCTTTTAGCCTTCTATCTAATAGCTCAAAATTTCAATTTTGAACTCCAACCGGGACACTGTCCCTGGACTATGATGAGGACCTATGCTAGCCCAGGACCCACGGCATAGAATTTTCCTTACTTTGTCTGTTAGAAGCACTGTCTAAACAAAGTATGGGCAAATCATTTTTTTAATAATAACCTCTCTTTAACTTTTTCTTGACTTCAGTTGCTCTTACAGCACCAGGCTCATCATTCAACATTGAGAGGAACGATTGTTATTATTATTATTTTAATTATTATTATTATAATGATTATTATTATATATTATTATTATTATTATTGTAACTTATTATTATTATTGTTATAAATCATTATTATAAATTATTATTATTCACACTTCACACTGGCCCAGGAAATATTGGAATCTTTGACTCCTTAGGCCCAGCCAATACCGATTGTAACTATGATTTTTTGCAGACATTTAAAAAGAAATTCTGTACAGCTTTTGTTTTAAGTTTTAGAAGATGAAATGAAGAATATATCTATCATGGACAGTTGGATAGATTACTGTACAAGTAATGGTTTTGAGGTGGCTGGCTCTCTGTGAGGGAGGCATACATCATTCTGTCAGTGTTATTTTATGTGATGTTCAAAAGTCTGTTAGTGGTTGGAAGGTGTGAGTGGTAGGTTTTTATTTTTCTTTCCCTCTGTTGTTTCAGTCTGTTTTTTTTGGGCTTTTTTTGAGATTCCGCCTCAGACTTTAGAGGGCGCCACTGGCAGGTCCTACTTCTTTTCTTTCCCTGTGTTGTTTCTATTTATCTGTCTTGCTTCTTCCCAGCACTATATGACTGATGTTGTGTTAATGTGCTTCTCTTTACTCATAGTGGGCGGTTGGCGGGTGCCCTGGTATGGTTTGCTCCTTAATCCCTATCAAACATCAGTCACCCCTTTCTTACCCTCCTTTTTTTTTGTTTGTTACTCTTTTGTAACACGTCTTTGGCACTTGTATGACCTCATTATGTTACAAGTGCTGTAAAACTCTTACTAAAAATCTACACTCAAACTCAGACCCTCAGACTTTCCTATCATATTTTTCCTCACTGTTCAGCACCATCCCGAATGGCGTTCCTGCTGCCAGCATGCCAGGTACCCGATCCTCAGCCGTACTGGACCAAACAAGCAAGTCAGCAGCGGCCCTAGCCATCGAGCGTGCCGTGGTGGATAAAGGGGACAGCGCTGCCTACTCGGAGACACAGCACGGGGACGGAAAGGTTTGTCTATTCTTATTGTTCATGTTGCTTTTGTGGTTGGTTGGAGGGTGTGCATCTCTACCCCGCCTCAGTGCTTTCTTGTCGTATCTGCATTTTTATACAGTGAAAATGTGACTTATTCCCAAGCCCACTTTTTCTTTTGAACTGTTTTCACTGTTATTAAGAATTGAGATACGACAAGAAAGCACTGGGGTCGTGTCCAGTTTGAAGATCTTTCTTTTTTTGGTTTTTTTTCTCTCTCCTTTCTTTTCTGTATGGTGGCTTGCTTTTTGCAGTTGGTGGTTGGAGGGCGCCTCTGGTTTGGAATTCTTTCTTTTCCTTTTCTCTCATTTCTTTCGCTTGTGTTGTCTTGCTTTCTTTGGGTGGTTTGAAGGCACCTCTGGTTTGAATTTTTTTCTATTTCTGTTCTCTCTTTTATTATCTGTATGTTGTCTTGCTTTAGGAGGGTGGTTTGAGGGTGCCTCTGATTGGAAGTTCCTTCTTTTTTCTTTTCTGTGGTTTCTGTTTGTTGTCATACTTTCTGTGGGTGGTGGTTGAAGGATACATTTGATTAGTAATTCTTACTTTCTTTCTTTTTTCCATTTCTGCCTTTTTTTTCTGTAGTTACTGTTGCTCTCTGAGGGTGGTTGGAGGGTGCCTCTGATTGGAAGTTCTATCTTTTTTCTTTGGCCTCATTTCTGTGCGTTGTCATGCTTTGTGTGGGCTGTGGAGGACTAAGGGGACAGCATCATTGTATACCCTGAGATCGTGCTCCGAAAAAGCGGATCTGTCTTTTATCATTTTTCCTGTTGCTTTTGCAGGTGGTTGGGGGTGTGTGCTTTCTCTAGTTGAATGTACCTTCTTCTTTTTTTCTTTTTTGTCTTATCTTTTCTGTATGTTGTCTCCGTAAAAATCACAGGTGTCATCCTGCTCTCTAATAGTATAAAAGTAATGTGGAATTACTTCTTTGTCTCTTATCTGTGTAGGATTTCCTTTATTTTCTCCTTTTCCCCCTCTTTTTTTTCTCCTTTATTTATTTTTTTTGATGGTTGATGGTTAAAGAATTTTAAGAAACCAGGTACACATTCAATCATAATAATGTAATAACACAGTTAAAATGCTTTCCTTTTCCTTTTGCAGCTGGAAAAGACATACAGAAACGGAGCCAAAGAAATTCGTTTTCCTAACGGCACCGTGAAGGAGATTTCCGCTGACGGTCAAACAATTGTGTGTAGGCTGGCAAACGGAGACATCCGCCAGATTTTCCCAGACCACCGTGTTGTAAGTGATGAGATAGATAGGACTTTGCAGAAGAATGCTACCTCTTTTTTAAATATGTTACTCTGCTGTTTGATAATGTTTTTTTAGTCTTTCCTTTAAAATGAGTATAAATATTACTTCTCCAATTTTCATAAAATCTCTCTCTCTCTCTCTCTCTCTCTCTCTCTCTCTCTCTCTCTCTCTCTCTCTCTTTCTCTCTCTCT